TAATGTATTGCATTCGATTTACTAATATTTTGTTGAGGATTTTTGCATCTACGTTCATACTTCTCCTACTGTTACTTCTCAGACTTTGGTTTCTCCTGCTCAAAATTCTTAAGATCTTAACTTTTTTCACTGTCACAGATTTGCTTTCCACTATCGTTGAATAAACATTTAATCACTATCAACAACTTTCAGAAACTTAGACAATTTACAAGTGTTTTTCAGTAATACTCTCACTCCCCATGCAGATATTGTTTCTGCAACTACGGGTGAAGTGGTAATCACTTCCTAGTATGGAGCTGAGACCCTGACGTCACAGATCTTTGTCTCAGGTGTCAGAGGCCCCTTTGGCACGCTTTCAGGTGTTGTGAACCTGACAGCTCTTTTCCTGTCAGGAAATGACATTTTGTAGGTGGCTTTCTTTTCCAGATTCCTAAAAGAAATTGAATATGTTTTAGGATGTGGATTAAGAAACAGCATCTGGATAAAATAATGTTGCTGGCTGGGTTGGACACGTCACTGATTATCCCAACAGGATAGACATTTTCTGAGGCAATCAGAGGCAGAGCACCACCCGTGTTCACCAGCTTCAGGGCGGCTGAAAATCTCCCCCAGCCCCCCATCTTTCTGCCCCATCTTTCTGTCCTTGCTGGGGTCTTCTCTCTTATCCCTAAATAAACATACTGATTTACAAAACCAACTCTAAAGCTGCAATCTCCACGTATTTGAAGAGCAGCTAGATATCCTATATTTCCTCTTAGCTACAAGTACACACTTGTTGCCTGAGTAATAGTATATGGTATGATGCGCCCATTAGGTTTGTAGCCTTTGGGAACATCTGAAATCAAGTGTCTTTAAAGTTATCTGTGATGGATAGCAGATAAATCTGGGTGCTTCCCCTTTAAGAATATCCACACAACCAATAACCATTCTATAGACAAGAGAGTGTGAGGGAAGAGGGAGAATCCCCCTCTGCCCTTTCCCTTAAGGTTCTTATGGCTGGCCAAATAATTAACAAGACAGGTTAGCAGGAGAAAATAATACCAAGTTTAATAACATGTATACATGGGAGAAACCAGGGACACTGCATTTCTC